GCCTGCTTTGCAAACAGTTAGGGGAGGAGTAATGAGAGCACTTTGAAACGTTAAATACAGTGCAAAAGTGCAAGGTGTTATTATTTGCAAGGGAATTACACACACTGAGGGACATCTGTTGGCTCTGAGGGGCTGACTGTGGAGCTGGCTCCTGCATTGCTGGCAAGGAGGAGAGGAATGCGGGTGAGCGGCCTGGAACATGTGACCTTGATAGGGCTGCCTCTGTCTTCGCCCGGCTTGACAGGCTCTCCCTTTACATGATCATCTGCCCTCTCTACTTGTTCACAGTCAGGAATTGGTTACCAGATTCCAACAGGACCACACTGGCCTGCAGGGAACCTTTGTCACCTCAGAGCCTCAGTTTCCTCATATGTAACAGTCTTGACTGATCTCCTCTTTAAAGCTCTGAGAAAATACAAAAAGATTATAAACTCCAATGTCAACTTGACCTTTTTGACAGAAACATAAATGTACGCATTGTATGAATTAATTTGGTCTCATCTTTCCAAACTTTAAAGATCTATAATAGCAACTGAGTTAATTATTTGATTTCTTTATGTGATATGTATACACATATATATGCACACATCCTATATAGTAAAAACCTAATATGCTAAGTATCCGACTGTTTGTTCGACCATTCAACCAGTCACTGTGACGCACACTGACCACTAGGGGGCAGATGCTTCGACTGGTGGTTTAGCTTGCTGCTGGGGTCCGGCCAATTGGGACTGGGAGAGATGGGTTAGACACACCCTGGAGCCCTCTTGCAGTTCCTCCTCAGCCCCAATCGTGCACCAGTGGGGTCCCTTGGCCTGACCTGCTCCCTCTAGCAATCCGGGATCCCCCGGGGAATGTTGGAGAGCCAATTTTGGCCCAATACTTGCAGGCCAAGCCGAGGGACCCCACTGGTGCACGAATTCATGCACGAGGCCTCTAGTACATATATAATGTATTAAGACTACTGGCTTACGTTTTATATATAATAAAGATTTCTGATTCCCAAAACTTTATAGCAAAGCCAGATCTCACTCCTAGAGGTATTTGGAAAAATAGTGAATGCCAACTGCAAGGCAATACACCATTTTTTGGAAAGAGAATTAGACTACAAATGGAAACTTCTCATTTTCACTTTTGCAAATTTTCTACAAACTCTTAAGGAATGTAATCTAGTACAAAGAAAATATTTACCCTTGAAAGTTCCATTAATAATTGAGGATTTTTGTATGCAGCAGCTGAAACCAATAACCACAAGACTATTGCTTTAAGAATATCATATAATATGATAATGAGTTACCTATCACATACTGAACATTATTGCTATTTGATTTATGCAACATTCTTCCATGGAAACTATTTTAACTTAGAATACATATGTGGAATTTAGCCAATAAATTTATAATCTATCTTCGATAATATACATTTCTTTGAGGATTTGAAGTTGTAATTTTTTATAAAATATTTGCTTTATCACCTCATTTTAATATAGTGGTTAGGAGCAGAGGCTCTGCACTCTGACTACTTGTGCTGGAAACCATGATTCACTAACAAGATGACAGATTATTTACCTTGTTAGTTCACTCCCATAAACCTCAGTTTTCTCATCTGTGAAATGCTTGACATATTATGGTATCAAAAACTTATGTTCTTTCAGCTTTTGAAATTTGTTTTCTATTTTAATATTTTTTAATAGACGGAGTAAATACAGTAAAGCCAAACAAGAGGCAGACGAAGAGAAACATTTGAATCAAGGTACGAAACATTGGATTAGAAATAATTTTAGTTTTAGACCATGTCTCCTGTTTTCAGTTTAGACATATCTGAATAATATTCACATAGCTGTTCATATTATATTCATTGTATAGGATTATCTAAATAATATACTTTGGGGTATCAAACTGAAACAGGTCAATGGGGATTCTTGAAAGTGAGATTAAAGATAGGGTTGGGGAAATTCCTTTAGAGCCTTCCCTCCCCCCACCCACTTTTTCCTTCTTTTATCCTCCACTCTGAAAAGGTATTGGTCTAGCTCAGTGGTCAGCAAACTGCAGCTCGCGAGCCACATACGGCTCTTTGGCCCCTTGAGTGTGGCCACGTAGTTTCAATCGCACTGTACGTGCGCGCCCG